CAGATGTCCTGAAACTCGTGATCGTTGTGGGACATGGGGCCTTGCGGATGTGGGGCTGGTTCTGCCCTTCATGCCAGACTGTGTGCCTGCCTGAGGCCCTGGCAAGGGGTGTCCCCCTCAAAGTTTCCTCAGTACCTGTTCCTCTGTCAGCACAGCAGTCCTGGGGGTCAAGAGCAGGACCTGGCTCCTAGTCATCTTTGGGATAGTTTTTGTTTTGCATAGTGCCAGGTACTTAGTAAACACACGGGTATGTCTCTGCTGACAACAGATGACCACGAATATTAGCTTAACCCTGTGGTGTTGGGCATGGTTCCTACTTTCTCTCTGACCTTGTTTTTCGGTTTGAAAATAAGAACACTGGGATATCAGATCTCTCCGTCTCCTCTCCCTCAAAACCATGTGCTTCTGAAGGTGCTGGAAAGAAGGTGGGATATGGATAGGGATTCGAGTGTTCAGGAATTCCTGGCCTGTTCTGCTGGCTTGCACCTGAGTTTGCTTGCTTTTTTCTTTCTTTTAAGATATGGGGACTCAATCTGTCACCTAGGCTAGAGTGCAGCGGTGTGATCATGGGCTCAAGCGATCCTCCCACCTCAGCCTCCCAAGTAGCTAGGACTACAGTGTGTGCCACCAAGTCCAATTTAGTCCTGTTTTGTTGTGCTCTGTGTTTGTTTCTTTCTATAGAATGACAAGAATTTAATTCCTATGAGAAAAAAAATGCAGCACTTCAGAAAATCACTATGCTGTGATACTTAGGTCATCTTTAATATCCTGTCGATTTCATTCTATTTTTCCCTATGGTGGAAGATGGGAGGAAGAAATCTTTTTCCTCTCTCTCTTCCTTTCCTTCCATCTGTTTGTCTTTAGTCAAGAGAACTGCATATCATGGAAAATCAAGAGTGAGGAATAACAGGTTTTAATTTTAAGCAGCTATAGTAATAACTGAAACTGTGATGTGATCCTCGGCTCTAAGCAACAAACCTCTGAGGTCAACATCTGCCAGAAACCCGGAGTAATTAGCCTGTTTCTAAACATTAGATTACTTGAGAACTGCATCAGTGTTCCTAACACTCTAAAATTTAAAACGCAATGAAATAAACCCAAGGTGGAAAGCCATATATAGCTGGGGGAAAAAAAGATGACCTCCCCTACCCCCCAAAAGGAGCCCAGGTGATTGCAGCCCACGTAGTATGATGTCCAACACACACAACATGCTTTTCCATCTGTCCCGAGCCTGCAGGCAGCAGGGGGCTGCCCTACTCGGCAAGGAGGCTGCGCTACACTGGCTTAGCATATCTGGTGGTTTGCCCAGTGCAGCCAGATTATGGTGCCAGGCTGGGATGGGCGGCCACCCCCAGTCTGCAAATGCACCCCCACACACACACACCAGAGTCATCACTCTAAGAACTGGGTCCTGGAGCCTCAGGTATTTATTCCTTCCAAAGGTACTGTTTTCTTTCCCTCCAGCTCACCCCTCATCCAGATCACATGCAGCACACAGGCAAACACTGCTGCCACAACAGATGGCCACTTGGACAGTTCCTTCCAGCAGCTCCTACCCCCCAGCAGGAGGAAAACATGCTCAGATCCTGAGCTCAGAGCCTGAGGGCCCCTGCAACACAGCAACAATGTGATGGATGCCATTTTTTTCAAAGAGAGCAGATTTTTGCTTCTCTCTCCATACATATATTTATTATTTTGATACTAAAAATGCACAGAAAGGAGTCTTATATTTGGATCCAGCCATACGACTTCTCTCTGAGTCTTCAAGATTTATGACACATAAATTCTCTGGAATGTAGAAGTCATGATTTGATTGCAATAAGGTAGTAATTTGGGAATGATGTGTTATCCTAGAAGCCTCCTAGTGATAGCCAGAAACCACTGTTCCAGCTTTTAGGTGTTAATTTATAACAAAAGTAATGCATTGTTTGGGGGAAATGTTTTAAAGAAAAATTATGCTATTATTCCTCCTCAAAAAAAAAAAAAAAAAGCCAATGTAGACCAAGAAAACATTACATCTGGCCCTTGTGTGCTTATTCTATAATGATTTCTTCTAATAATAAATGACAGCTATGATTCGAGTGCTCTTTGCAAAGTACTTTGACATCTCATTTCACCCTCAAAACTGCCTGAGAAAGGATTATCTCCAATTCACAGATCAGGTAACTGAGGCCTGGTTAAGTGGCTTACCCAAGGTCCCCTTACAGTGATATGTTTGAGCTAGGATTTGAACCTTGTTCCTTTTAAATACATAATTACTAAGATGCTATTTCTGATGGTGTGCAAAGGTTGTGAGAAAACCCACAAGGTTGTATGCAGCGTCTACAAGGTTACGCTGCACAGCAGCACAGGATAATCACTGGCTCCGGCTAGACTGAAGGCATCTCACTCTAAGGGCACACGAAAAGCAACAAGATGGTATGATCACAATCCGGGGAAGAATCGTCTCCAGTGTGTCCCTCCCGGGGTCCTCTGTACTCTTGAGAAGGCTCCTCCCTTTCTGCGCACAGCTCTTCTGTCTGTCCCATTTAGCAGGCTGGGCCTTTTTACAGAGGACACAGGGAGGCTACATCAAAAGCCACACGGGACTGCTAGCTGCAGTCTGTAGAAAGGGAATCAACCTCCAGATGGTCCAGGGATCAGGGTACATCTGCCCCTTTGCCTCAGGGATGTGGACCTCTTATCCCTAACAAGACCCAGGTTTCTTGGTATTGCCTGGGGAGCTCCTCCCTGGTCCGAGACCATGCCAGACCATGGCACACCATGCTGCCCTCCAGAGGATTGCTCTGCGGGGACCTAGGCTCCTGCCTCGCTGAAATACAGAACGTGCTGCCAGCATGCATCCTGAAATGGGCTTCATGACTGTCTGACAATGTGACTCTTGAAATATTAGCAAAGCCCTGGGGAGCACACACCCCTCCTGAGGATGGTCTAGACAGATATTCTTGGAAGACCATAACACAGACATGTCTCTGAATTTGTGGGTAGTTAGAACAGTCATTTGAATATGTCTTTAGTGGCCTCAAAGAGAGAAAACTAGACCCCTCACCCCAACTGAGCATTCTTTTTCCATTACAGTGTGTTCAAGTCTCAAGGGAGTTTTAAATCTTGATTCATTTCATTGGCTGAAAAAAATACCCGTGCTATGTGAGTTTGCTTCAGAAAGCAGGAGTGACAGATGTCAGAGACAGGCAGGAAGAAATAGGGCCTGGACCATTTCTTATACTAAAGTGACATACAACACACTAACAAACAGCAGTTGTCAGAAAAACACATGGATGTTTCTGTATGTAGGAATGTTTGTCTGACAACAAGTGTGCACGCCTGGCACATGATAGCCACCGTGACAACATAGCAGGCTCGTGTGTAAACACCCACGGCATCCTGTACCTGCCTCTTTCACCACCCAATCTCGCTCTCTCCGAGGCAGGTATGCCATCGTTTCACCAGCTCCCCCCAGGGGTGTCCATGCAGGACATTTCCAGTCATGTGTGACATCACACAAGGTGGCGATGACTGTTCTCACGTGTGCATGGCAGACTTCCAAGCTCTCCGGCTGCTGCCTGGTAAGAGGTGAGTGCTTCAGAGCAGCTGTGCCAGGGCCTGCAGTCCTGGAGAGCCATGCCCATATGACCCAACATGATGGCAGGACACTTACCAAAAAAAAAAAAATGCTAACTGTGAAGACCCGGGGCTCTGGGGACTGAGAGGGAAGAGATGAACAGAAGCACAGAAGAACTTAGGGCAGTGAAACCCCTCTGTGTGATATTGTAGTGGTAGACACACGTCATTACACATTTGCCCAAACCCACAGAACAGACGGCACCAACAGTGATCTCGTGTAAACTGTGGACTCCGGGTGATGATGGCATCAATGGAGGTTCCTTGACTGAAACAAATCCACCCTTTGGGGGGTGCTGATAACCAGGAGGCCACGGTGTATGGAGGGCAGGGGCACATGGGAAATTCTGAAAGGTTGTCGTGAACGTAACAATGCTCTAAAAATAAAGTTTTTTTTTTTTAAATAAAAAGTACCGGCTCAGCCTGGGAGCATTAGCCAACTGAGTCGTGCCGGTGCTAATAAAACTGCTACTTCCTAAGATACAAAATTCTTTTTAAAAGTACCTCGTTTTAATAAGCAACTTCAGTCATTAATGAGGCTATGGTGTACATGTGAGCATTCTGTTTACGTGTATTTCTTTTTCTAAGAGCTGCCTTTTTATGTTCTTTGAACATTTTCTGTTAGGTTAGTTGTCTTTTTCTTAAAGTTTAGTAACAATTCTCTGCATTTTTAGCAACACTAATTCTTGGTTATATATAATATTTATAAATGAAATATGAATAACATTTATAAAATGAAAGATTAGGAGAAATATAAAATATTTCCCCCAAATATTTTATATTTCCCCCAATATTTATAAATATTTTGATACACATATATTAGATATAAAACTAGTCATTAACTTTATTGTTTTCTTGGTTTATTACAGCAACTCTGGGTTTGCAGCATGCTTAGAGAGGCTGTCTCCATCACAATGTAATAAAAACATTCTACTGCTCTTTATCTTATAAACTTATGACTTCATTCTTATTCTGAAATGTTCATCCATCTGGAATGTTTATGAGAAGAGAGGGCTGGGACGTGGAGTACAGCTCTGCTTTGCAAAGGCTCCATTTATCACAGAGCTCAAGTGTCACTTCAGTATAACACTAATTTCTCATAAGTTCTTAAGGACTCTCTATATGCTCATACTGAATACATTTCTTAAAGTAGCATGTTCCTATTACTTACAGGTAACCAGTGACCATGGACAAATGATTAGAAAACAGTAAGCTGAATTTTCTAGTAATCCTCCCTTTCTAGGCAAAATCTAGAAGAAATCTTCTTTCAGCACATGGCTATGGGCAAGAGGCTTTCTTTGATTTCAGCATGGGAAGTCCACTAGGGTATTTGTGAAACACATCTTTTCCATGCTGTGTAGTCACTGAAAACGACTTACCTCTACATCATGTGTCTCAACACTGATTATAAAAACTTGACCTCCAGAAGCTGCCCACAACGTGTCTTCTATCATGAGTAGACTTCTAACTGGCAGGACACCTAATTTAATCACTTTTTGAGGTTCGGAATTCCAGGATCCATCTGAAAAGAAGATATTTAATGTCATTCAAGTTTAGTCATCCATGTACAAGAACAGGGAAACAGGATCACACGTCATTTTAAATAACAGAACACCAAAATATCATGTGTCATTGTGATGCTTATGCTGGGTCCTGGGTGTGTCCAAGGCTCCCTGAGCTAACTCCACTTTAGCCAGGTCATCTAGGACAGGACACAAGCACAGGGCAGCTATGGTCAACAGGCTCCCTATGGACCCAGCCGGCCTACATAAATCTTAGTTTTCTTTAACTGTAACATGAGGACCATCCTCCTAGCCTCAGGGGTTGTTTTAAGAATTAAAAATGAGATAGTGCATATATAGAACTCAGTACAGTACCTGGCATATGGTTGTTTAATGGATCCTCTTAATACAAGAGCAATATATGACTTCATCATTCAAGGGAACCACAGCCAAGATAACTGGGCACAAATTTAAACTTCCCTATCATCTGACTCAATTTTTTTTTTTTTTTTTGAGTTGGAGTCTCACTCTGTCACCCAGACTGGAGTACAGTGGCTGCTCCCAGCCACTGCAGCCTTGACCTGCTGGGTTCCGGTGATCCTTCCACCTCAGCCTTCCAAGTAGCTGGAACTACAAGTGCGCACTACCACGCCCGGCTAATTTTTGATTTATTGTAGAGATGAGGTCTCACCAAGTTGGCCAGGCGGGTCTCAAACCCGCGGGCTCAGACAATCCACTCACCTCAGCCTCCCAAAGCGCTGGGACTACAGGCTGAGCCACCGAGCCCGGCTTCCTGACTCGATTTTAACATATCCCTTGATATATCATGAGAGAATATATCGTCACTGAATATTTTCTAAAAATCAAAATTGAGGCAAAAGGAATTCCTTTCTTTTGATGAACTTGTTCCCTTTCTTGAAGTCCAGGGAGTGGTAAAATATTTTAGTTTGAAAATATTTTCAAAGATCTTCTGAGGAAGTCTTTCATCCTTTATATGAAGTATGATTCAATTGCTTGGATAACAATAAAAAATTATTTAAAGCAAGATTGAGCACAATTTTAAAAACGGCTGATAGAATTAACCTGCAAATAATTAAAATAAATTCTTCAATTCTCAATCAAGCCATTAATTAAGCCACCCAGCTTAAAAATATAACCAAATTATGAATCCCTCAATGCCCCGATTCCCTAATCACATATCCTGCTCCGCTCAATGGGGGAAACACCTTATCACTGCTCTAGATTTGAAGCTCTAAGCATCTGAACAAACGCAACTTATGAAGCGTCTGAAGCCAAGATCACCAAAAAGTAACGATGTTCTGACTTCCGTGGCGTACTTATCCCTGATTCAATTTTAATGGAAATGCTTTTATGCTGCCATCAGGTTAAATAATGTTGTAGGATAATCCTTAGCCCCACTGGACACCAGTGTGCCTTTCAGCTGTAATATCTGCACAGGGGCCAGTGTGTCATTTTGTGGTTAAAATGTATACACACATACACACACTACACACATCTATACACATATGCATGCATGCACACACATGAATACGCAGCACACACATGTGTACACACATGCACAAACACATGCCCTCACACTCACGTGTGCATACGCATGTGTGCCTGGGTTGTCCCATCTGGTACTCACAGCCTTTTAAAACACTGCAAACTCCACATTTTTTTTTTTTTTGAGTTGGAGTCTCACTCTGTCACCCAGACTGGAGTGTAGTGGCCGCTCCCGGCCACCACAGCCTCTACCTGCTGGGCTCCGGCAATCCTTCTGCCTCAGCCTTCCAAGTAGCTGCAATTACAGTCATGTACTACCACACCCGGCTGATTTTTTGATTTATTGTAGAGATGAGGTCTTGCTGCCCAGGCGGGTCTCGAACCTGCGGGCTCAGGCAATCCACTCACCTCAAGGCTCAATCCTCAGCCCAAAGGCGGGGGATTACAGGCTGAGCCACCGAGCCCGGCTTGCAAACTCCACATTTGATGGGAGTATCCAGATCAGAGGGAAGCTACCACTCTCCCTGATGTTCACATGCTAAGGGCATGCCAGGTATGAGCATGGAGGGCTTCTGAATCCACACACCCTGTGCCTGTGTTCTCTGGTGGTTGCCCAGTGGGGCAGCCTTGTCCTGCTGAGGATGTGATTCCTTTAAAACAAGAAATCAAAGATCAAAGACCTACTTCAGATGTTTCGCTCTGGTGAAGTCTTAACTTCCAACAACTGAACTTTGTTCCTGGAGTACCCACATGGCCCTTGCTGTAGACAGCATGTGCCTGTGTCTCCCAGAGAGGCCTCTAAGTGGGGCGATGGTGCGGCATCCATCCTGGGATATGCGTGTGGATGTGAGCCAGCAGGATGACTCTTCCCTGGTCTTCACTCAAAACAGAGTGCTTAGACAGGCCGCCCACACCACAGCCTTACCACACACACACTGGTACAATGTGACCCAACACTGAAAAATCTGAAAAGTTCCTATAGAATTCCAGATCTCTAAGCCCTTATCAAGTCAGTCCCAGCAACAGTGGGTGGCTGGGAAGCAGCCACCTCCTCCCTCTCGACGGGCCGAGACTGCCACACTTAAGAAGGAAGCGACAGGCCATGCACCTACACTTGGCTATACCTCCCATGCCACCACTCAGGCCTCCCACTGGCGTCAGGCGAGGACTACACTTCCTGACATGGTCAGCAGGTCTCGTGGGTCCCAAAGACAGTGGAATTTGTGAAGAAAGACACAGCACACACGCGTTATGATGCAAACAACACAGCATAGCGTGGAGGTGGCCGAGGCGGACAGGTGATGGTGACCACCTTAAGTGACTGGTTGCTGAGGTGAGAGACAAGGACTGAAGAAATCATGCAGCCAGTCAGAGGCCTGAAAGGTGATCACCTAATACACCCAAGAAGAGAAAGGGGACTACAGACATAAAAGCATAAAATAATGTAACAGAGGTTAGAAAAGCTGAAAGAAGTCCTACCGAAATACACTCTTCTAAGACGCTTCGTGAAAAAGAACAGGAGTAAAAACACTAGGAACACAGGGAGCCAGAAGTGAGTGCACTGCATGTGTGGTGGGGCTCCTTTCACAGTAGAACACAGTGACAGCAGGGGCACGCAGGCCACAAGGCTGGCAGAGGTCAGGAAAACACACATGGAAACACAGGGCTGGGATGCCAGAGGCTAGCCCTGGAGATAAGCCCTTCACTGGAGCTGGACTCAGGGGCTGCATTATGAGTGGGATGCAGACGAGATGCCAGGCAAGGTGGGGCACCCTGGAGGAGACCAGAGGGGAAAGGGAGGGCAGGGCCCTGAGCCAGGAAAGTCGGTCCACAGGGTTCCCCAAGCACCCAGATGGCTCTGGAGTGAGACAGGGAAGCCTTGTGCATTTATTCCACTACCAATTGCTGGGATGTGAGAAACATGTCCATGCCCCTTGCGGCAAGGTGCACACACAGCAAAGCTGAAGATGACCTGGAAGAGGAGAGGCAGATAGAGAACATCTCTCCAAGGCTGGAGATCAAGGGCAAATGGCCACTCCAGGTGGAGGGAGGCACTAGCACAGAGGCCTAAGCAGGACTGGGCTCCACGGTAGGCCTGCCTGGAGTGGGGGCGGAGGGGGTGGCTCAGAGCACAGAACGAGGACTAGGACTTTATTCTAAGTACACGTGTACCCCTGCACATCGCTAGGTGGGGAGGACAAAGACTCATTAAGGCTTAAAGAGCTCATGAGGAAATACTTGGGGAATGGGTTGGTAGAGGCCTAGAAGAAGATCTGGAGGCTGCACAGTCATTTAGCCAGGGCGAATGGTGACAGTGGAGGGACGTAAGCGGGGACAGGTATGGGGGACAAGGTGTGCTGGTCTCAGGAGGGAAGTACAGACCAGCAGCTTCCAGTGGAGGATAGCCCTCACCTCCATTATTCAGCTTTGAGACTGGGGTCATTGAGGCTGGCCAGGATTCAGGCTCAAATTTGGGGATCCATGCTCAGCTGGGAGGGTGGCCCGGGCTGGGGGAGGGGAGGCAGGAGGGAAAGACCTGGAAAGCAGCTTCCTCAGAGAGGATGGTTGAAGGGCTCCTAGTACAAGTGCCCCAGAAGCCTTGGGGACCGCTCCACTGCCACGAGGATCAGACGATGGACCAGGGTACCCAGGCTGGTGCATGAGGTCCTAAGAGCAGTCAGGTGGCCTCGTCCACAGCCCGGCAGACTGCCGGGAGACGAAGCTCTGCTCCTCTCTGTACAGCTGAAACCCCACAGAGCTGTTACACATGCACTAAGAGGACTGCAGAGACTGAGGGAGCGGCCAGGGGATAGGGGGATGGCTGGGGCAGAAGGCCCAGGGTCCGGTGTACAGGCCCTCACCGGCCATGCAGGCCAGCTGGCCAGCTCAGGACACATGGGTGGGAAGGCACTAGAAGGCCCAGCGCCCATCAGGGAGAAGAAGCGCGCCTGAGAGAGGTGTGAGGCGGGAGGCAGGAGGCAGGAGGCAGGAGGTGGGAGAGAAGCTGAGGAGGTTGACCTCTGAGACGCCATCCATGTGTTCAACAAACTCCCTTTGGGGAAGAAGAAGTGGCACAGCCTTGGACAAGCAGGATGAGTGTGGAGCGAATGTGAAACAGAAACAAGAAGCATAGCTAGGAAGCTTGCGGGAGCACCTCACCTGGGGCCCTGGTATAGCTGGCAACTGTCCCGTTAACCAGACCGGCGTACAGGCTCCGCACTGTGCAAGCCAGGCTCATGACTGTGGACCTCTCAGGGGTAAAGAAGTGCTGAAGCCTCACCTTCTTGGAGCCTTGACTGCTTTTATAAATGGAAATGCTTGAAAAGAAAAACATGAGTGAATAAAGACATGTGCTCACTGTGAGAAGAGCGAGTATAACTCATTCCAGCTCCTCCCCGCCCTGCCCTTCTCTACTCCAAGACACACTTGGCTGCATTTTAAAATATCTGCACCCACTGTGATTTCTTTCCTTTATTTTAAACAGGAATTTCTGGCATATAAGAAAAATTAGGGTCAGGAGCGGTGGCTCACGCCTGTAAATCCCAGCACTTTGGGAGGCTGAGGTGGGAGGATTGCCTGAGCCCAGGAGTTCAAGACCAGCCTGGGTAACATGGTGAGACCTCGTCTCTACAATAAATAAATTGAGAGAAAAAAATTAGTTGGGTGTGGTGGCACATGCCTCTAGTCCTAGCTACTTGGAAGGCTGAGGCAGAAGGATTGCCTGGGCCCAGGAGGTTGTGGCTGTGGGGGCCATGGGCGTGCCCCTGCACTCCAGCCTGGGGAGAGGGTGAGACTCCAACTAAAAAGAAAAAGAAGAAGAAGAAAGAAAATAAAAGAAAAACTAGCTCTTCCCATATGTCTTGGAACGTCACATCAGAAAAACCACTTTAACTCTCCATCAAATGGAGTCAACAGGCAGTATGATTAGAATATAGAATACTGCTGTTTTATTCCAAATGTGGAGGGCGTACTCTTTGAAAGCATGAAAGAAAACAAAACATTTTCAGTGGCAAACATCATAGTAGGACCAAAACTTTTCCCCTTTAAAGATATACCACTTCTGCTTCTCTGTTATATTGTTTGTTGTTTCCTTAAACTATCTGTGGTGAAAGACAAAAAAATAAATAAATGAAGATACACCGCTTCTGTTTGGGAGTCTCCTAGAATAATAATGTCCATGGGACCAATTCTCTGCCATCTCAAAGTGCAGCGGCCCCATATATTCCTGTGTCCCGTCATTCCTACACACGCTGCTAGTGATGCGGAAGTCAACGACTCCCCCCAAGACAGCCTCCCCACACTGTGCGTCTGTGGGTTGGGCTGGGATAGGTTTTCTGTAACAGGGAACACACCCCACCTTCCCTCCTCCGTCCCTAAACAGATGGTGGGGACATCGGAAGCTCTGGCGGCTGAGGTGTCGGGGTCCGGGGCTGCTTGGGGCTCTCGGCACCTGTCCTCCACGGGCACGTACACCATGCACAGGATGCGAGACTCCACATTGAAGCACTCGATGACTTTGGGGTTGGAATTTTGAAAGGAGACGATGGCGATCTGACCCATCTGATTGGTACAACTTCCGATCTGCTCAGGGAGTCGAGGGAAAAAAGAAACTGAAGCCCGGGGCTTCCACAGCACGTGGGAGCCTGCTACAGGATGGCCACAGCCAGCACTGACTTGCACACCAGGGAAACACACTTAGGAAAATCAAACAACGTTCCCACAGTGTTTAGGAGCACCCTTTTCTTTGCAACTTATTTAATTAGGTTTTTGAAAAATTTAACAACAAGAGAAATCACATCCCCCACCGCTTTACAAGGGTGGAGGCCTATTCACACACAATGTAAAGTCCTAAAAAGCACATTCTTCCATTTCAAGTAACTTAACACTAATGCTTAACAACAGAACTTAGCTAAGAAAACAAGTCTTTTCAAATGGGGAAAAATAAAAAGAAAGCACTCTGAAGTGGTTCACTGGCATTTAAAGCAGCACAATTGCAGCAATGGCTCAGAACTTCCGATGTGTTAGAATCTCTGCAATGAGAACATGCAGCATTGCTAGTAACCCGCCGCAGACTTAAACTTAGCTGTTGTTCAAGGAGAGTCTGACCCCCTGTCAACTGAGAGCACTGGCTGGTGTTACACTCGCCTTATTCTTCCTGTAATTTTTCCCTGCTACAAATCAACATCTAATTCTCACCCTTTTGAGAGAAGGATGCCAAACAGGAAGTCCCTGCACAGTCTACAGGGAATGCGGAGGGTGTGCCCAGGAGGGGCTGAAGCACCAGCAGTCACTGGTCCACCGCCTGCATGGCAGCAGTTCTCCTTTAAAATGAGAAGCCCCATGGGAATCAAGCCCGTCCCTCCACTCACAGGTTGGTTAGACATGAAATAGCAGCTAATCGGCCTGTTCCATTTCTACCACTCAACTGGGAACACCAACCAGGCAGAAGCTTTGGCTTCAAGGAGGCGACAGATGTGAAGTTGTAGCACAGACACCTGGGAAGTCTGGAAAACAGCCAGGGTGGGTCTGAGGGTCTGAGGGACTGTGGGAAGGGGAGGCTCAGACCACACAGCGTGAGGGATGTCCTCTGGGTTGCAGGAACTAGAGCAGTCTACCACAATTGTAGCATAATTTCAGATGCAATATTTCATTTGGAGCAAATTAATTTTAACTGCTAAGTTTCCAATGTAAAAAGCCAGTCTTGGGAGAAGAAAAAATTCATGCAATTTAACCACCAAAACTGAAGAAAATTATTCTCATATTACTTGTCTTTGGACTGAATTTAGTCTGGTAAAAGTTTTAGATGAAAAAGAAAATAAACATTCTCATTCCTAAGTATTCCACAAGTAATCAGCTCCTTTCAGAGACGTTTTCATATTTGTAAACACACTCCGGGATATGCTAGCAACTAACAACTACATTCTGCTGAGCAATTCAGATCTCCTTCCCACCACATAAACTACAGATGTAGATTACTTGTGAACCTGCACTAAAAACAGACAGAGACATCTTACCCACAGGAAACCATGTGCCGTAGAGAATGAGTCTGGGTGATTTTCACTGTTCACATAAGGTTCAGGATTATATGCAGCACATTCAATCTACAATGGAAGGAAATCAAATGCTCACATACAGAATGGGACTGTGACATGACGTCTCACCTGGATGACACACTCCTAACATTATACCCAAGGGCAAACGCTTACAGGGGACGCCTCAGAAGTGAGCTTTGTAACACCTATGGAGACTCAGCCCCTATCAGCCGCGCTGAAACCCAGATAGGAGAGCTGGCCCCCGATGGAAGCAGTGCAGTCTCCAGATGGGATGTTCCTCCCTCCCCCTTCGCTGACTCACCCCACCTTTCCTGGGCGTGCTGTGGGCCACAGGCCCTGAGACTTCCAAAGCAGGAGTGGTGGGACCTGCTGGGAGACCCAGGCTCCAAGTGCAAGCACTGGCCCAAGACCAGGAATGTGAAATTAAAATGTGTGTACTTATCTCTTACAAAAAGACACATCAGCAAATCACAGATGTCACCAAAGCACCAGCCTGCTGTGCCTGGGCCAACACTAGCATCAACATTCACAAGACCCATCCTGGAGGTGGAGTCCGCCTTACAGAAGTGAGCGCAGACAGTACTTCAAGCAGAGACCTGCAGTCATGACGCCCTGTGGAAGTTGACTGACTGCCAGGCAAAGACCGACACATGTGAGCCATGTGTCCCTGTTTAACTAGCAAGGCTGTAGAAGCAGCCATGATATTTGGATACTCCAGGGCTGGCCCTGAGAATGGGTTTCGGAGACATTGGCTGAGCATGGTTTTCAGGTTTCAAACCAGAGCAATCTTTATTCACATATAAATAAATTGCCTTCAGAGAAGCAGTTAGTATGGTCACCTGAGAAAAACAGCGTTCTGACAGTACCCCTTGGCAGCCATCTCCCAGGGAGCCAAGCCAGAGTAGAAAGGCCACCCGCTGCCTGGCAGGTGCTCCGGCCCACCGCCCCTTTCACCTTGAATTCTTGCTGCTTGGCCACCATCACGGGCATGTGTCCAACAAGGAGGGGGTGCCTCTCCTTCTTCATCTGATTCCCATCATCTTCCACACAGAACCAGCCCATGTGGTTCTCCTCTTCTGTGATCACATTCAAAGAGAAAATGAGCAAGGGTGCAATTAACTCCCCCTCAACAGAGACCTGCAACTTCAACGGAGTCATGTCAGAAGTTTCCAGCATGCCTTACTTGGGAGAACTCAATATCTTACTGCTGGTAAACAGTAAAATATTTCTTACAGCATACACTATAAATTTGTCACATTTTTTTAAAAATGCATTTTATTTATTTGTGTGTTTGTTTATTTGAGACGGGGTCTCATTCTGTTTGCCAGGCAGGAGTGCAGTGGCACAATCAGGCTCACTTCGATCTCATACTACTGGACCTGAGCGATCCTCCTGCCTCTGCCTCCCGATAGCTAAGACTACAGGCACATGCCACCACACCTGGCCAATTATTCTTTGTAGAGATGAGGTCTTACTATGTTGTCCAGGCTGGTCTTCAATTTCCTGGCTTCAAGTGATCCTCCCGTTTCAGTCTCCCAAAGCTCTGGGATTACAGGCATGAGCGACTGTGCCCAGCTGGTTGCATTATGTTAGAAGGTAGCACAACCCACATCTACATGACAGGGATAGCTTCCTATTTGCACCTCTTGAATGCACCCAACTTTGTGAAGGGCTGCAAAACTTTGCTAAATAAACCACATAGGTCAGTTTTCCTTTCTCTTCCTCCATTTTTTTTTCAAAGCAACTGAGATGTTTAGATTCAAACACCAGAGATGGAATGAGGAATTTTAAACATGGTATAATACTATGGAATAAAAGAGTACAATGAAATGGATGAATATTTTACTACCAAAGCAACCTTTCCACCTCAGCTTTGAAGAGCATGTAATTGATCTAAAGATAAATGGGAGCTTGCTTTCACATGTAGCTTATTTTCTACAGAGAGTGACCATTCCTTGTTTGCTGAGTCACTCTGAACCTAACTCTACACACCACTAAATTATTCAGGAAGACAGAAAAGAGCACCAGTTCAGGAAGGTTTTCCTCTCCCGGATAACAGGCCTTTTCCTTTCAGTAATCGGCACTCCCCACGTGATGAGCATGATCCAAGCTGCCCATGTCTTTTCTCTACATTATAGTCAGTTAACGTCTCAGATTATCTGCACTGAAAAGATAATTTTACCCACACACGATATTACAGTGTGTTCTGAGTAACTGATGTATATATGTAAATAAATTGTATATATGTGTAGACACACACACACACAGAGCAAAAAAAGCAGGGTTAGAGGGAGAAAGGAGAAAGTCATCCTGAAGATAAACCCACCCAAAGCAGCACTGCTGGACATGTTTTGGGGGCTGGGGGTCTTTAGTGGCCACTCAGCCCATCCCTGTGTTCTGTTCTCTGTGTTCTGAGCAGACAGTCCCAGATGAACAGACCCAGGTGAACAGTGATCTTCCTGACACTTGGAGACAGACCTAGGCCTGACTCGTGCCCCTGCCTCCCAGCCAGACCCAATGGGCTTACATGGTGTTTGCCAGTCTCAACCATGGCTTTGTTCCTGCAGCCTCTAAATTATAACATGAACATCTTAAAAATCACTTGCACTGGGGTTAGTTTTTCCGACTTAAAAACATTCTTTCAGGTTGACAGATCTGTCACCAAATTTACTCCTCAACCCTGATTTCATCCTCAGAGACAGGCAGGCACTCCTCATAACGTAGAGGCCTCTCCGGAAGACTCTGAAGAGTACCTTGTCTCTTATTTGAGCATGCCTCATTTAGCCTAAGCTAAGCTCTTACCCAGGGCAAGTTTGGCCATCTGCAAGTTGTTGATCCAAGACTCTTTGATGGCAGGGGTAAACGTATTGAACACAGCTGTAAAGAAAGTCGGTCTCCCAGACCTGCCGGAAATAATAGACAAGCGTTCATTCTATAAAACGTACTCCATCATATGAAATTAAATTACATGTTTTGCCTGTCCAACAGAATCAACAAACCAAAAAAAAAAAAAAATACATATAATGACAAAGAACCTTTTTTTCTGGCATTGGCTAAGAAGGTTTCATTTTAAAGTAACTACTAACTTGTCCTGCTTCCCTGGGAGCTGTAGCTGAATTCTGCAGCAGTCAGCAGCTCTGATTTCATCTTCTTTCTTCAAAATAAGCCTTTGTAAGCCAGATGTCCAATCATGGGCTACTGATTGGTTTAAGTTCTACAAAGGAAATACACATGCACATTTTAAACATGTTAAAAAATATACAAGACCATCCTAAGGGGGTGAAAACAGCAGAGTGACAACATGAAAAGTTCAGGGAGACCAAATGAAACTCATCTCTGATTATGGAAAAGAAGCCGTTGGGAGCCAGAGCACAATGTGGCACGGCTGAGACATTTCTAAGACAGAAAGGATATGCAAGTCAACTTGTAGAATGAAGAAAAGTTTAATTAAGTAGCTTCATTTTTTCCAAAGTAAGAGGCAATGCAGTCAGATCAATTCTTAAAGTCAAAATGAATTCTCACTTCAGGTAGAACTTGGAGACATAATCACATACTTATAAGGATTTAGAAGTAAAAATTGAATCTTAAATCAAATTGCTTTGATTATTACCTGATAGTTTCCTTTAAGGTTTCCTATCAGTTGAGTGATTTGACCAATTACATTTAAGTCATGCAACAAGTTTTGTAAATCTTGATACAGTTGTCCCGGCCCCATGTAAACTTTGTCTACAAAATAAGCAAAAACAAAAACAAAAACAAAAAAGAGTACAAATCTAAAGCCAGGTTTACTCCAGTACTTCAAGGAAGAAAACATGAAAATAAATACTAGTTTGAATTTTTTTTTTTTTTTTTTTTTTTTACGTTTGGGGGATCTGGAACTTTTAAAAAAGTGAATTTTTAAAGCATTTAGTAGTTTTTCCTTTTCTAGCTTTTATTTTGAAATAATTTTAGACTCATTGAAAAGCTACAAAAACAGCACACAGGCTGCCCCCTGACTGCCCTTCTCCCAGCTTCCCTGGACGCCAACATTTTACACAGTTACATTCAACACAGGACTGTCAAAACCAGGAAATGAAACTGAAGCAACATTATTCACTAATCTACAGACCTTACTCAAATTTCACCATGTTCACCATGAATGTCATTTTTCTAGTCCTAGATCCAACCCAGGGTCTCACACTGCATTGAGTTGTCATGGCCCTTAAGTCTCCTCCAATCTGGGGGAGTGCCTCATCTTTGTCTTTCATGACTTTGACATTTTTTAAGGATACTGGTGAGTTACAGAAAGTGTCACAATTTGGGTTTGCCTGACATTTTGTCAATTCTAGTTTTTTTTTCTTTTTCTGAGTCCAAGTCTCACTCTGTCACCCAGACTGAAGTGTAGTGGCACAATCATGCCTCATCACAGCCTCGACCGCCTGGGCTCAGGTGATCCTCCTGTGTCAGCCTCCCACATAGCTGGGATTACAGGCACATGCTACCACACCCAGCTGATTTTCTTTTTTCTTTGTAGAGATGAGTTCTCACTATGTCACCCAGGCTACTTCTAGTATTTTTTAAACATTGTTGATGCAATAGCCATTAATAAGAAGTGCCTAGAATTGACATCTAATATGAAACAAATTTCCAATATTAGGGTCAAATGAGTTCCCCAGTGATCCTTCCTAATTTTTTTTTAAGGGAGTACAAATGGTTTATCTGCAATGACTTGGGTGAATGGAATGACACATGTCCTGGGGTTTAAGTGCCCAAGTGAGAACAGCTCCTACCACGTACTGAAGACTTATCGTGCACTAAGGAGGTGATGTTAAAACATGTTCTCACTGAATCCCACCACAGGATGCAGGCACAGAGGATGGGTCCCCTCTCCCCAACTGGCTGATGAGGAAACTGCCCAAGGTCACACACTCACAGATGGACAGGATTTGAACTCAGATCACATTCAAAGCCAGTCTTCAAAGCAATGTGTAGTAATAGCCTATCTTCTTTTCCAGTTTTCATATAAATAAATTACCTAAGGTCAAACAGCCAGTAGGGGAAGGAGCCAGAATTCAAACCCAGGTAGAAGAGGTTCATTTGAGTTAAACAGAGTAACTTGTGTTTCAACAGACACCTTCCCAGGTGCAGACTTGTACGGTCTCACAGCCCGCGTGGTCTCACAGCCTGCGCAGTCACATGGGCCTGAGCTCACAAGGGCCCAGAATTTGGTCTGAGCCTTAGCTGGTGACATCTTGAAATTCTTGATAATTTTGAACAAGGGATTCCCCTCATTTTTCTTTTGCACTGGGTGTAGCAAATTATGTACCTTGTTCCACACTTTAGTGTATATATTCATATATATATATATGCACACACAAACACACATGCTGAAATGGAAAGATATCTATATATTTCCAATAAAAATATTTTAGATAAATATGTCTGTGAAAATATTCACTGCAAAGCTGAAGAGTAGCATATTCATTTATAATTTCACAAGCACTTTATGTTAAAGACATGATCATGTAGATACTCAGGCTCATGGTAGGGCCTGATCAAAATCACCCATCTAGACAAATTTTATAATTAACTACATCCGAAGTATCATAAAGTTTCACAAAAAGGGGGGCAAATCTGTAACAGTGTAACCCATCAACTTTATACTTACAGTACACTTATATTTTAAAATACCTAAAAACACACACATTTGCTTTCTTTCATAAACTTGTGATACTTCTGATGATAAACACTGTAACCACAAATGTGGAATAAAATTATAAGTGCTACATTAACTTTATTCACTGGTTAATATTTATTTTTGGGTTGTTTTTAATAAAATTGGCCCTTTTATATTTGGTGTGCAGCTCTATGAGTTTGAGCACGTGTTGATGCATGCATGTAACCAGCTCCTCAATAAGCCCACAGAAGAGCTCCATCACCCACAAGCAGATGCATCGCCCTACTGAACAGCTCCGTCACCCACAGAAAAGCTCCACAGTCCACAGAAACTCCCTCACTGTCCCTTAGAGCAACACAGCCCCCACACTGCCCTAGAAACCACTCATCTGTGCTCCAATCCTTCCATTTTGTCTTACAGTGTTCCAGAAGTATTTTTAATTCATACGTATTATTCTTATACTTGCATGGTACTCAGTCAATGTGCCCCTTGGCAGAAGCAGCTCCATGGCTTTGGAGAACAAGTGGCTACCTTGGATCACAGCAACTTTGTGCCTTCAGTCACCGGTGCCATAAGCAAACATGACCTGAGTGTACACCTGCACAAGGGACACAGGACTGCATCACTGACTGCTGAGAGACTCTGTTCTTAGTCTCTCACGCTCCATCTTTGAAGAACGCGTGAACAAGGTAGAAAGAATGCCAACATCTTGACTACTGTTTCTAAATTGGGTATGCCAAGAATCTGACATCTGTGCCTGAATTTGGAAAGCAAGTATTTCTTCCTCCTTCTAAATGTCTCTGTGAGTAAGCCACATGTTAAAATAGAAAACACATTTATATTTACACAAGTGTCAAGAGATATAAGTTTTATGTTGGAAAGTTAAAGGCAGCAAATTACTCAGTGGCAATGCTGTATTTTGCCAACCTGACCTCTTTATGAGACTCGGAAATCCATGAGAGCTTCTCTCTGTTTCCTAACCTGGCAAGCAGGGACAGGAATGTCCCTCCTGTCCTCATAGAACTGATTTGGAGATCAAGCGTTTTAGAAACATGCAAGCTCTGTGCATTCTAGAAGTGTGTGCAGTGGTGCATAACACTTAGGAACCCATGCAAGTTAAGCAGCGGCTTCTGAGTCCAGTATGCCCTCAGGCTCCTTCCTCTGCTTGGACCACCGAGGCGGGATTTCACAGCTTGATCTCCTTTCGTCCATCAAAACACACCCTGCCATGTTCCATTCCTCCCAAGAGAAAAACTTTCTTTTCCATTGCCATAGAAGAAACAAAGTTTCCCACATGCCTAGCAGAAATGGTAATAGTTTAAATCAGAGAAACTTCTACGTTTACTAAATCTTTTGATTGCCATAGAAGAAATAAAGTTTCCCACTGCCTAGCAGAAATGGTAATAGTTTAAATCAGAGAAACTTCTACGTTTACTAAATTTTCTGATACACATAATGCCAAAACTCCCTGAGGAAGCCCACAGAGGTAGCAGGGCTACAGCTAGCTAGCTTTCCCTTGGGAAAACTCCCAGTTAGTGGATGCAAACTGTTTCATTCTCATGCAGATGACCCAAGTTCTAAGGGAAATTAAGCAAATGGTTAACAAATTAAACCCTGTAAATCTACTGGCTCCTTTCCAGAAGCTAATTGAATAATGGTGACTCCACAGTGAGGGGCAATGTTGGCACTGACCAGTGGAACAACACAGAAGCCCTGCATGGCCCCCAGAGAAGAAGAAGGTAAAGTCGCAGAACTGCTCTAAACTCTGCCTTTCTCCCCTTTAAGAAAGAGACTCAGATGGACTGCACGGGTAGTCTCCCATGGCAGGCACTGTGCTCTATCTGGCAGGAAGTAGAGTGGAAAGTTCAGACAGAGGGAGTGGAGTTACCGCCATATCCCGTACAAGCCAACAGCAAATGCAGAAAGAAAGGAAAAAAGACTGATCCCCTTTCTACTGGCAAGGGCTGGGCTGGGGGCCCCAGGGCGTGAAAATGGGCAGGGCTCAGGCAGTTAAAGACTGCTGGCACTTGGAGATCCTCAGTCATCTGGAACCTCTGGCTAAAGTTGCCCTACCCAAGGCCGGAGCCACTCCAGTACCTTCCGCAGCCAGAATCATAGGGCCCTGCGACTGTTGCAGACACCAGCCAAGTCCTCTTTGTCCACCCGGAGGGAGGGAGAGAGAGGTGGGAACAAGGAATCAGTGAGGTACCTGGCCACCTGAGGTTGAGGTGGAAAGAACTGCAGGGGCTGCACAGGTTTCTTGCAGAGAAACTCCAGCAGATAAAGTGGGAACGTGGCAAGCCGGAGGGGTCTGACTCCAGCCACTGACAGCCCTCCAGGAGTCAGGAGTACTCCTCCAGGAGGGGATGTGACACCAAGGACAGGCTTCTGGTCCCAGCCCCTTTTACCCCTTCTGATCCACCAGAGAGTTCAGCCTCCTTCTGACCCATCCAAAAGTGCTATCCCCTTCTGTCCTTGCTGCCTTGGAGGGAAGGAGATGGGAATAGGTCAGGGATGTGCCATGGATGTGACAGGATCTGTTCCTATCAGTCCTACTTTGTAGCTCATGGGGACTAACATGTACACAAGGCCAGGTGTGTATGACTCAAAAAATAAATAAATAAACAAAATCCCAGCCTTTGGGAGGTCGAGGTGGGAGGATCACGAGAGCCTAGGAGTTCAAGGCAAGACTGGACAACACAGTGAGACCTCCTCTCTACAAAAAAATTAAAAAATGAGCCAGGCATGGTGGCGTGCTTCCATAGTCCCAGCTACTCAGGAGGCTGAGGTGGAAGAATCGCCTGAGCCCAGGGGTTGAGGCTGCAGTGAGCCATGATCACACCATGGCTCTCCAGTCTCGGCAACAGAGTGAGACCCTGACTCCAAAAAAACCCTAAAAACCTACAAAAAAAAACCTACACAGATTTCAGTTAACAGGAGGAATAGGTTCAAGAGGTCTAATACACAACACGGCAACTACAGTGAGTAACAGGGTATGGTACACTTGAAAATTTCCAAGATTAAATTTTAAGGTTCTCACCATAAAAACAATTGATTACATATGTGAGCT